TGTTGGTTGGGGAATAAGATGCCCCTAATTGTGCCGAGCTAAATCGTATTCAATTAGAATTGGATAGAGTGGGATGTAACAGATTCCCTGTCGGAAAGATGATGTAAAATCGAGTCTGGGAATGGGCGGAACCAGCCCTTCGAGGCTAGTGCTCGGTCCAACCTTTCTTGAACAACATTGGTCGGATTGCGCCTATTTGTCCAAGTAAACGCCGGACCTTCAAAAGGAACCTCCTGAAGATCAAGATATATACAAAAAGCCTAAGATTATTAGCGTGGCTGGGGTGCCAAGGGAGGCCACCCTCCTTTTCATGGGATGCCAAAATTGCATTAAAATCCCCAACATCAAAAATTAATTTAATTTAATTTTGTACACATACACATAAATTGAGCCTATTATTTTGTAATTCGTATTGGTTGTTTTCAATAATTTAAAACAATACAAGTACACTCGTTAGACTCTTAGTAGAGGTATACATCTCCTTAGAAATACAACATTTTTGACAGAAAAGGGGGGATCCGAGAATCACTTAAAATCTTATTTTCCCAAGAAATGGGAGGATCATGATGATCGCTTAAGATTCAAAAAAAAATTTAGGCATGCATCTCTGTATAAAGAGTCTAAGTAAGTGGCACATTATATTATCCTAAACAAATGAAAATAATAAATACAGTTAACAATTTTATTTTACAAACCACTAACTTATGTTAACAAAATAAAAAATGACAAATGATGATAAATTATATATGTACCTTGTGTTTGTTCCAAACGTCACTTGAATGATGGTTATCTTGGTCGTATGGCATGGATGGATCAGTCGGTCCTTGATCAACATAATATCTTTGATTGTATATATCCACATCCTCCCCAACCTATGATAGCATAACAAGAACATAAATTAATTAGTATATAGATTAAATAAACTAATTATATCAACAACAAAATTTTGGCATAATTGCAAGTTTGGTCACTTGAATTACTAGTAAAGTTCACGTTAGCCACTAGAATTACTTTATTCTATTCGTAGTCACTTAAATTAGGTTAACAATCCAAGTTTGATCAGTGGTCGTCTCCGTTAACTTTTGCCGATGCGACGGTCAACACTAATAGTTGACCGTTAAATGAGTGATGTGGCAATTAAAAATAATAATAAATAATTATTTTTTATTTTCCAGATCATCATTACATTCTTTAAAACATAACATGTTCCTCTTTTACTATTCCCCGTACCACATATCTAAATTAATGATAATTAGCAATCGCCTCAACCCTCTGCGAGATCGACGTCGCTTACATCTATTTCGATTTTAACGGTAGAGTCGATACGTGGTCGGAAGACCCAAACAAGGTCAAGGGCACCATTCTCAAATACAGAGAGGTCAAATCTAACAAGAAACCCTGCGTCGGCGGCTCCCATGTTTCCTCCGACGGCGGCAGCGACGAAATTCAAGGAGCGCCGGAGACTAATCGGGAACTAAAGGCAATGGATGATGGTTATCTTGGTCGTATGGCATGGATGGATCAGTCGGTCCTTGATCAACATAATATCTTTGATTGTATATATCCACATCCTCCCCAACCTACGATAGTACAAGATATTTTGCTACGTTTACATCTAACGTTTAGGCACGCCTAGGCGACACCTCAACATGCTAGGTGCTAGACAGAGCCTCAACGCTCACCTTAAGCCTAACGCCGACTCTCTCTTCTTCCCAGAATCCGTCGTCGAGTTCCTAGTCAGACGATGACTCAAAATCGACCTCTTCCCCCTCCTCTCCATCATCATCCTCTTCCGTTTTCTCCCCTCTCTCCTTCCAAATCCCATTCTCGTACTTTTTAGAACAATGTTCACATCATGAGTAGAGGTTGATTTTTTTACCTTAACCCTAACAATCTATCAGAGCTTGGACTAGAGAGTCCATTGTTCGATGGCCTCTTCAACACATGACAAGCCCAATTTCAACAACTCTCAAGAAAGAACGTTCGAATCGCAGGCCATCGTCAATCATTTGTGTTGGATTTTAGCTCTATCCCTGCCCCCGGAGACCCCCCGGCTACAACAGTGAATTTGAGGATTGGTAGAAAGCATCCAACTTCGTGGGTTAAATCGGCCGTCGCTGCTACCAAAGCTTTTATGAAAGGGATGCAAGATCGCAGAGATTGAGACTGGTGGGCGATGGGCTGCCAGCGATAGAGGTGGATGGGTGAGAATTAAGCAGCAACGGGGATGGATTTCTGGAGGCAAAGGGAGAGGAGAATGACAGTGCCAAAAACAATCATGGCGGTGGCGACGACGCCTTGTTCAAAGAGGCAGGGAGAAGACAACGAGAGGGGTGAGGCTGGTAGGAGAAGAGAAATTAGGTTTTATTTTTAATGATTGTGAGGTGGAAAGGAAAATAGAAAATATTATTTTTTTATTTTTAATTGCCACGTCACTTAATTAACGGTTAACTATAAGTGTTGACCGCCACATCAACAAAAGTTAACGGAGACTAATGGCCAGTGACCAAACTTGGACTGTTAACCTAATTTAAGTGACTATGGATGGAATAAAGTAATTCTAGTGGCTAACGTGAACTTTACTAGTAATTCAAGTTACCAAACTTGCAATTTAACCCAAAATTTTGGTAAAATGAGTACGTAACGCTTGATAGTCATCATAATAAATACCCTCTTCTTCGAAAATATCAACCATTTTTGCAGGTAGCCGGACATAGATTCGACGGGTTTTGTAGGAAAAACCAAAGAAATATTTTCTAATCACAGTTTGAACTTAGTTGCAACCAATAGACCACTATTTCCTAGGTTTTTGGGTGGAGAGGGGGGGGGTGTGGATAGGGAGATAATCTTAGAGAGAGAGAAGAATGGGTTTTGGTGTGAAGAATGAAGGAGGGGGAGGGGGTTTATATAGGATTCGGACCGCCTGCTGGGGGCGGTTTTGTAATTTTGCAAACACAAAAACCGCCTCCTCCAACCACGGTTTGCATTTTTCCAGACCAGAAACCGCCTGCAATTCTCGATCCCTTACACAGATTGCTCACATGGCGCACAGTCCGCCCTTGGATCGCTTACTAATCCAACGGTTCTGCAGACCGTCGCTGCCCTAGGCGGTTTGCTGGCTTCCCTAACCTTGACTGCTGCTTCCCAACGCGTTTCTTCAGTAAAAACGCGCCTTCAGTGTGCGGTATTCAGAAAATGATGTTAGTTTTGAAAATTTTCTGAAAATAGTGGCATTTTTGTAATTTTTTAATTACGGTAGATCTGGAAAAATCCGACTTTAAAAGGCTTCCAGAGATCGTCGACCCAGTCCGAGACCCGATCGCCAGAGTAATCAGACCCATCTCTCGTGAGACCCTCATTGTGAGATCTCCGGCTAGATAGAGAAAACCGAAGAGGAACAACACGTCTACAACCATAATCTAGGCCAGATCAGCATCGCTCATACGCCGCTGGTGAATCGAGCAATTGGCAAGTGAAATCGGAGCCTCTGGAGTACGGAATCGGCGAATCGGCGTTTGGATTGACAGGGCTGAGAGTCCTGGCACTTGAAATGTTGGGGGCACGAGAATGGGATTTGGAAGGAGAGAGGGGAGAAAACGGAAGAGGATGATGATGGAGAGGAGGGGGAAGAGGTCGATTTTGAGTCATCGTCTGACTAGGAACTCGACGACGGATTCTGGGAAGAAGAGAGAGTCGGCGAAGGCGGATGGGAAGAACAGAAAACGTCAACACCTTGGTCAAGCGGTTAGGTGTTTAGGGAATTATTAGGAATAAATTTTTATTTTTAATAGTCGTGAAAATGAGGTGGAAATTGTAAAATTTTAATTTTTAATATTTTTAACTGTCACGTCATTTATTTAATGGTCAACTATAAGAGTTGACCGTCACATCAGCAGTGGTGTAGTCAGGAATTTTGATAAGGTGGATCCAACGATAAAAAGATTATCATAACATAACTTATATTAATATCTTACAAAGACGCACGAAGTTCATAATCTTAAAAGTAATATAAAATACATTCATACATCGCTAATATAAAAAAAAATATAAAATACATTCATCATTCAAATTATCGTGGATGTTCCTTTCAATCTATTCATATTAACTTGTGTATCCATATGCAATTGGTTAGGCCAATAAAGGTTTTCAATTTTGATTAATAACAGTTCAACAAGTGATAAGGGAATAGGCATTACCTTGGAAGGAGAGTTGGTAAGCGGCAATCAAACCATGAACTTCCAACTTAGTAGACTGCCAAGCTTGGACGGCCGAATGAGTGGTGGCCTGGTGGGTGAGAGTTCGCCGACGACCTTTGGTTGGAGGCGCCAACCGCCAAGTCGACAGACAACCGAGAACTCTTTCTGTAATAGCAATTAGGGATTGAGAGGAATAAATAATTTGTTGGGAGTGTTCTATTCTGTAATTCAATTAAAATATGCAAAAAATAAATAAAATTACATGCATAGTAAATAGCATATGTAATTTAGTAGAAGAAACCCACTACAATTATGAAAGTAGCAAAGGTGAAAACCCACGCACAAACATATATACATTTTTGTCTTCCTACTTCCTAGCCCAAATACAAGGTGGGTCCGAGGACCCACTCACTATGGGCTTGCTCCACACGTAAGCAAAAATTAACGAAGACAAACGACCAGTGATCAACATAGAAATGTGTAACTAATTTGAGTGATTATAAATGGAATAATTAATTTTAAGGACAAACATAAATTTTTATAGTAATTCTAGTGACCAAACTTGAATAAAATAAAAATTAGAAAAAAGTGGAAAATGGGAAGTTACAGTTGGGCAAAGATGTAAATATGGCAGAATTTGAAATCACGTGGGGACATCGCGCAAATACGCATAAAATGGAGGGACCTCGCTGCAAATATACGTAAAAGGATTTCAAATTCAATCCTGTGCAACTAATCTCATGGAGCACGAGATAGGGGCTCCTAGATCGAGCCGTTAAATCCTAACCCTGGCTACGTGTACGGTGATAGGAGCCTTCCGACCCAGGATCCGATGATAAAAAAGGAAAATAACAGAATTTAGAAATTGGTAAAAAAAGAGGCTAAAGCCACCTAATTGGCTAACCCAACTTCTTTATATTCAAGTTTCGCGGCAACGCCTCTTTGCTTTAACTTTCTCTCTCTAACCAGCGCCTCCCTCCCTCACCCTTTCTCTCAGATAAACCCTTTTCGTCCTCCCTTCCCGGTCTCCTCTCTATTGAAATTCTTTCCTCCTGCTAGTGCGAAGTGCAGCTCCAGATCTTATATTGGTGAGAATCGGCGAGTTCTGTTGCTGAGGATCTATCATTTAGGGTTGTAAGAGTGGCAAACTCTGAGGGGTTTTGTGAGGGTTTCTAGAGGTACATTTACTGAATTCAAACTCTAGCCTTTTCTTTGGGACAATTTGTTGTTCAATTCAACTGATTAATGGTTTTAGGTTTCCCCTTTATATGGCTCTTTTGCTGAAAGCGAGCTGTTTGTTTTGGATTTGGGGACGGCTCGTTTGGGGAAATCATAGCTGGGTTTTCCTCACATAAATTTGAAATTCTCTTTCTGTTTCCTTGAGGGTTGAAGGCGGATTTCTGGCGGCAGATCTTTTCGGGTTCCTTTTCTGGGGGGGTTTTCTGGGTTTCTAAACATTTTCGGGTTTCTTCCCTCAGCAGCTTTTGGGCTTTTGTGTGGGTATTTAAAACCCCCCTTTTGAATTGTTCGATTAAGTTTGGGAGCATTTGACAAGAATTGCTTCTGAATGGAAGAAGAATTTTCATTTTCTTCTATTTGCCTTCCACCACTGAACTATGAGTAGTATTATGGAAATACACTGAAGTTCTTTTGTTGTTGTCCAATTATTACTTTTGTATATTTCAGATCTTCTAGACGGAGGATCTCTCTGGGTTATGTTTGCTATATGAACAGGTAGCTCGTTGATTGTTGGTAATGAAGCCGAATTCCCAGTTCTATGATGAGGCATGCTGCTAAGTCTACCTAAATGTGTTCCAGGAAATCAACATACAATGCCTCCAAGTAGGAAAAAAAGTGTCAACAAGCAATTTCCGATAGAAGTCTCTCCTCAGAAAAAGGCCAGGAACTGGGGAAAAAATGTTGAGCAAGTGACTGCAGTGGTGAGTATTATCTCATGACTGTAGGTCTCTCTTGTACCTATAGTGGGTTGGAGTGTTTTACTTATGTATGCTGTCGCTATTCAGAGTAATGATTTGAATTTCCTTTTCACGTTGTGTAACTTTGCTGATTGTTTAGTTAATATGATAATGTTAGCTGAGCAGACAAATAGGCAATGTAGTTTTCTCTTTGGATATCTTTCTCAAGGAAAGTTGTAATTTTTTTCTTCTGTTTCTCCCACTTGCAACATGTTCATAATTTCTTAAAAAACATACCAATTTGTGTCATGTATGTTGGAATGTTCTGTTTTCACCAGAAGAGGAAGTCTGCCTATAAGTTGGGGCCACCCTGGCATGAAACAGAGATACAGAAGTTCTACAAAGCATATCGCAAGCATGGGAAGGACTGGAAAAGGGTACGCGCTTCTACCCCGTCAGTTTTCCATTACCCATCACTCTTTATAGTACGCTGTGTTCACATTTGAAATTTCCTCTGCGTTATTCTTCTTTGTTTTCAGGTCACTGCTGAAGTTAGCACTCGATCTTTGGAAATGGTAGAAGCCCTTTACAAGTTGCATCGGGTACATACATTCCTTTATTGGTATTTTATTGGCTTCATACTTAAGGATTTTCCATCTCTAAAGTTGTGAGAATGTTTGTGAACTAAGTGACATTACAGCTTGCTTGATGACCGATCTACTATAGCAAATGGGTTTCTATATCTGCTCAGCTGTTTCTCATTCCACTTTATTGAAGATAGAACCAATTTAAGGCATGAAAATCAGCAAGTTTTATTATTATGATGGAGAAACATATATCTGCCTATAAATTTCTTTTGCATCCAAATTCATACACTGAGAGTCAGGACTGCAGTTAGAGGTGATGATAACTGATTCATCCCTAAGGAAGAATCTAAATTTTGAGAGGGATTGGCCTGGTTAGGTCAAAGAAGGGTTCTTTTTGGTAATAAGGTTTGACTTGATGGTCCCAAACTGAAAAAAAGATTTACATGAAAAATTGTGATGGGTGCATAAATTAATATTAACTAATTAATATGCGTGCTACCGTTTGCTTTTGATGAATGCCTATCTTCTATTTGCTTTTCATGGCATTGGAAATCATTATTTTGTCTTATCTAGGCCTACCTATCACTTCCTGAAGGAACAGCTTCCGTGCATGGCCTTATAGCAATGGTGTCTGATCATTACAGTGTTCTTCAGGTACATTGTAGGATTCAATTATTCATTCAGTTAAAAGCTTCTGCTACTTGATGAAAGGCGCATAATGTTCATTCACAAACCTTTGCTGTTGGTTGACATTACAAAGGTTATTTCTTGTCATCCATGTAGGCATCAAGTGACAGTGAAAGAGAAGACAATGGCGTCCCACAGGCGTCCCACAAATCTCTCAAACGAAAGAGAGTGAAAGTTCCGCTTAGTGAGCAAACAGAGCTGCCTGTTTCAACAACAGCAGATGGATGCATGTCTCTTTTGAAGAGAGTACGTTTACTTGGTATGCAGCTTGAATCTTGGTTAGTAAAGGCATGTTAGTTATTTTGAAGGCAGGAGGGTGTTCATTTTAATTTTCCAGTTAATTTCTTTACCGGTGGGGACTTGAAATTGATTGTGTGGAATTTATAAAAAGCTAGTTTGAGCAATTGTACTCATATTTGATTTTTACTTTCCCTTGTTAAGTTCCTACATGTTTTGAATAAATACTTTGGTGACCTTGGTCCAGTTTGAATTTGGCTGACAATGAATAGAGCTGCATTTATGTCGTCATAACTGTGAGAAAAGCTAATTCCTATATGTTGACTAGCAAGGACTTTGAATTTAATGAAAAAGACTGTATATGATTAAGCTAGTCTAATTGATGCTTGAGCTAGTTTTGATGGTATTATTCTTATCTTAGGTGGTCAGCCTCGTGCAGTTGGGAAAAGGACGCCTCGTTTCCCTGTTTCATACAACAAAGACAATGCGATAAATTATGCTTTTCAGAGAAACAGGAAGTTAAATGCTGTTTCCAGGGAAGAAGAGGTAGCACATGTTGCTGCCTTGGTATTAACTGAGACATCACGCAGAGGTGGCTCCCAAGTTTCCCAGACATCCCGTGGCAGAATTGAGCAAGACACTTTGTCACTTGTTAAAAGTAAAGATAAGAAGGTATTTCATCATGGCATCCTCTTCCGTTTCCTTGAACAGAATATGACGGACTTGAGATTCTAACACTATCAGTTCTTTTGTTTCTATCAGCGTTCACTAGTCTGCTGTAACATAATATGTACATCCTCAATTCCTTTGTGCAGGCAGAGTCAGCTGTAGAAAAACTTTATGATGTTTCCATACATGATGGTCGGATACAAGGGGCTGGAAGTAAGGTTATCAGGAATGTCGAGTATGATGGAGATGTAGGTTTGGTGGAAAGAAAGGAAAAGAAGATTCGTGGAAAGAAAATGAAAGTTGGAGTGACTGACCGTCTTAAGGTTGATGGTGCACAAGCTTCTGGTGGCACTGAAGAGGGTAAAAAAATGAGTGGTTTGAGCAGAAAAGTTGATACAAAGGTTTCAAATGGAAAGCTTAAGGTGACTTCTCCTCAAGGCGAAAAGAGGAGAAGCAAGAAATATTTTTCTGGAGGTAAGTTAGAAGCTGTACTTACATGAAAAGTTCAGTGGCTGATTGTCACATTATGGTGGTGCTTACATGAAAGTACTGTATGATTATGTATTTATGTGTGTTACGTTATTAATTCATTAAATGCTCTTGAAGAATTCTGTTTTTTCACAGTTTGGTTATGGCATAGCAACTCAGACAATATCTGTTTTTAACCACACTTTTCTCATTGTCAGACGAATTTTCTGCTCTGGATGCTTTGCAGACATTGGCTAATCTCTCTGTGATGGAATCTGGTAAGTAGTGAAGACTAGTGAGTGTATTACTTCTGTTGAAGGCTTCTAACCTATTAAGTCCCTGGCTGGTCTACTATGTCTAAAAATCAAATTGCATAAACCTTTTTAGAATAGATTATATTGATCAATTTGCCACCACCTTAACAATATTCCTTAAGCTCCTATAATAACTATGGAGACTAACTTAATAGGGAAAAAAGAGTTGGCGAGTTAGTACCAGACACCATCCCCAATGTTATTGCTAGTGAGTAAAGGCAGAAGTCTGACTCTATCTTTCAAAAGCTTGCACTCACTCTGTGTGATTGTTTATTCTATTCAACACCAGTTTGTTGCTTTGGCCGCATGCAAATTATCTCTCCAGGGTGACGCCGCATGCAAATTATCTATCCAGGGTGACTTCGTTGTCAACTTATATCCCTGCCTTGTAGGGAAGACTAAATTCTAATAACTTAAAAGCTGATAGTATGTTCATGCATCTGTTGCTGTATTTCCCATCAATCTGCCATTGATGTTTCTGTACCCTGATTCTGGCATCTTTATATATTCTTATTTGTGTTGGTCTAGAGTCTTCTGCCCAACTGAACGAAGAAACAAGTACAGTTGATTTGGAGAGCAAATCTGTCATCCCTCAAGCTACATTTGCTGACCATAATAGAGACATAACTGAAGTCTCATCCATGAATGATAAAGTACGTGATACAGTCATTGGAGTTGAAGCTACCACCTCAAGGAAGTCAAAGTCCAGAAGAGTTGCAGAAACTGATGGTAGACATGCTTCTGAAGCCCAGCAGCCAAATGATTCCATGAATGATAATAGCCTAAAAAGGAGACGTCCATCTGTGGTGTCAAGAGTAAGCATATTGAAACTTCTCGTCTATGCATTCATCAACTTCCCATGTCTAATCCTGTTACAATACGAAAAAGAAACATCCATAACTCTGTGTGAGCTTTTATCTTGTTTCATTTGATAATCTGGCTATACCATCTGGCTCACAAGCTACTTTTCGTTGTCTTTTTTATTTATATTTTTGTCTCAGGCACCGAGTGTTGAAGCCGACACAAATCCTCCTCTTAGTGATTTAGTGAAGACTAACGTATGCTACTCTGTCTTTCCCTCATTGCGCCAATCCTTCTCCCTTTACCCTTTTACTCTTGGGAAGTGGCAATTATAATATATTGATAATCTGCAGAAAAAAATGGTACTCTTGGTTGCATATGTCATGATAATAACCACACAAAATATTCAGTTGCCATTAAGTTTTTGGTGGCAGCAGAAAATTGATAGTCTTCACTCTGACTGTCTAAGCAATCTTGTATTCTTAAATCTTGTTTCTGTTTCCTGAGTGGTTTTTTTTAGCAATCCCATAACTATTCCTATTTTCCTTTTGTGATTGATATAGGACTTGCCTGGAAAAGAGATATTGCCTGTTAAAGGGAAACAAACCAGTGAAGTGTCTGATCCTTCCAGACAACTGAAAAAATCAGGTTCAGATTACAACAGTGATCCGACAAGTGAACCAAGTGGTCCATCAGTGTCAGCTGAACATTGTGTAAACACTCAAGCCAGTTTACCAATGCCATCAAGAAAAACTAGACGCAAGAGATTCCCTTATAATATAGTGGGTGAGAAGAGTAAAGCTATTGCCTGCTCCTTGCCATTGCAAGGGGGAGCATCTCATTCAAAGGTACGTTGCATCATGTTCTCATCTCATTTTGTGAAACTTGCGGGTGGGAAAAGGCTTTGGATTTTGGTTAAACCGAAACCAAATTCCACAGTTTTTGCTCACTGAAACTGAGTTATTTGGTTGTTGATTTTAGAACTTCTTAGTTTTGGTTTCGGTTTACAAAAAACAGGCCCATATCACCAAAATCTTTTGAAAGCCTGGCCCTCACCTATTATGGAATTTACTGGAATTAGCATCTTACTTGAAATTTAGTCTAATTTACTTGATTTTGTGTTGGAATTTATTAATTTGAGGATTTTGAGTTTCGTTATTAAACTTCTGCGATTTTTTGTTGGATCTGTTTAATTGGGGTTTGGAACTCACGCAGTCTCTTCTATTTTTGGTGAATGGTGTGATAATTTCGGTTCCTTGTATACTATCGCGGTGCTGCAGTTAAAGTTCAGTTGAGGTTTCGAGCAAAGTTCAGTTTGGTGTGGGTTTCATAAATACTTGTTGCTTGGTTTTGTTAACTGAAACCGAAACCAATCCCACCCCTAGCACATTACTTATGTTCTTGGCTTCTTGCCTTTCCTTCTTCTCTTTTTTGCAGGAAGACATTTCTTCTTGTCTTTCTTCTCCCCTTATTCGTAGATGGTGTACATTCGAATGGTTCTACAGTGCCATCGACTACCCTTGGTTCACCAAACGAGAGTTTGTCGAATACTTGAATCACGTTGGGCTTTGCCACATTCCTACTCTAACACGTGTCGAATGGGGTGTCATAAGAAGGTACTTCCACTTCTCATAAGAATACATCTTCTTCTGCTACATCTACGAGATAAATTTCTTAAGCTGTATGGTTCATTACAGTTCCCTTGGAAAACCTCGGAGGTTTTCTGAGCACTTTCTCCGTGAAGAAAGGAGCAAACTTCAACAATACCGCGAGTCTGTGAGGAAACATTATAGTGAGCTCCATGCCGGTGTCAGTAATGGACTTCCAACAGATCTAGCAAAACCCTTGTGGGTTGGACAAGATGTAATCGCTGTCCATCCACGAACAAGGGAAGTCCACAATGGAAGAGTGCTAACAGTTGATCATGAAGAATGCAGGGTTCAGTTTTACAATCCTAAGATTGGAGTTGAAGTTATCCAGGTAGTTTCTGTCAGATGAATATATAATCATTTTGCTTTTCATGAAATCTTTGTAGTTGATTTCTTGCTGGTAATCAAATGGTCATTCTATCACTCATTAGTAGTTCGTGAACATATTTCTTCCATATTGTTTTGGTAGTTAACTAACTAGATGTCTTCAAGCATACTTTTGTGTCGAATAATGATTTGAAGTACTCATTTTCCAGGATGTGGACTGCATGCCATTCCACTCAATGGACAACATGCCAGAGGCTCTCAAGAGGCAGAAGTACTTCGTTGCTACGAAGGAGGTTGAGATAAATGGATATTCGGATAATAGGAAGCTTAACTCAGTTGGGCCAGTGGAGAGTGTGCCGACTCCAATGAATACCAGAATAAAGCAAGCTCAGGTGAGCATTATTTCTGTTTGAAAGCTCAAAACCTTTTTTGTTTATGTAATTCAAAACTGAGTTTAATATTCACTCAAAACACTGAAACTGAGTTCTGATTTCTGAACTGCACTGCCAGTGCAACAACTTGGTTCACACCTAACCAATCTATTTTTTAATGGAATTAGACCATACCAAATATAAATCGATTCAGTTTAGGTTCTGAAATTCGAGACTTCTTTCGTTTTAGTTCCACAGTTCATCTTTAAAACTAAATCGAGAAGACCGTTCTGATTGATGGCATTTTTTGTTCGATTATAGTTCTCTGTTTTTCTTCTTATGTTCAATCCAGTCTGATGCTGATTCAGGCCTATTCTCGACTGGACCGAACTATGCACACCTTATTTTAATTGGGAACTGGGGTTCATAATTTTAGAGTTTTAGTGCTCTTTATGAATTTCGAGAATGAAAGTATTAATGCCTGATATTTTGCTTCTGCTTTCTGCAAAAGGCTACAGAAAATACTACTTCACAACTGAGGGCCTTAGGTACTCAAGCTTCCGATGCCCAAAATGTTACTCTTGGTCAATTTTCGGCGACTTCAGCTCTTGATCCGACTCATTCACTCAATAGAAAGGTACTTTATGTTCTGAATTATTATTACTTCATACTGGTAATGTGCGGCAAGCAGGATTTTGCTTCTAACTTCAACCGCTAAATCCGTTTGCTCCTTCATACAATAAATACCCAGCAAGGAAACCAGATGCACCTCCCTTGGCTGACTTCCTCAGCCAATTCCAATTCTTATTACAATTCGTTTGCTTCCCAAGATACGGGATCTGCTGCAGCAGCTGAAATCGTCAACAGCTCAAGACAAAGAGCTCACAAGATGCTCGATGCTGCTCTTCAGGTTTATCTCTACTCCACCCCTCTCTTGGCTTTCGGTGTGTTCCACAAAACCAAAGTGATGAATCTTAACTATCCATTCATTCTAGGCCTTCTCATCGAAGAGAGAAGGGGAGGATGGTTTTGCTACGATCAGGGAGGCTTTAAATAAAATGGACAGCAGCAGGCGAGGAGGTACATTGTCGATGCAGACATCTTCAGAGTCCCTAGCGAACCTCTCCTCCTCCCTAGTCTCATCCCCATCGGAGCTCATGACTTCATGTGTCGCCACTTTGCTCATGATCAAGGTACAAATCTTCACTCTCTTTGTCTAGACCAAACTCCATCCGGTAGCCCTCTTTGATCATCGATCCTGACATTTGGTGTATCTTGTTCGAAGATGTGTACCGAACGACAGTACCCTCCTGCAGATGTGGCTCAGATAATAGATTCCGCAGTCACAAACTTGCAGCCCTGTTGTTCGCAGAACCTACCGATATACCGAGAGATACAGACGTGCATGGGAAGAATCAAGACGCAAATATTAGCTCTGGTACCAACATGAACGCAAGACGGTCATAATGCTCACTATACATGTCTATTGCTGTATCGGCTTCGATGTGCTGCTCTGCCATTGTAGATATATGATGGGGCGGAGTTTCTTCAGTTTAGGTAGGAAATCTCATATAACTAGATAGTCGGCTAGTTTTAGAAGCTGGAATTTGCTATATCGGGCTCAAAAGAGCAAATTAAAAGCTCTTGTGAAATGGAGTGATCTCTTGGTTTTCTTACAGACCGTGATTATGTTTTAGCTGTCTATTATGGGAGGGGGGGGGGGGGGGGGGGGGGGGGGGGGGGGGGGGGGGGGGGGGGTTGGATTTGGGGTAGGTTAGATCCAAATTCATGAATTTTCAAGTTCATTAATCAATCCGAATGCCAAAGGTCGGGTTAAAAATACACTATCATGAAAAGCCCATAATGTGGTTGAAAGCTTGGATTGAAAAATCTTATTGTGCTAGTGATTTGATTAGAAAAATCTTCAATTAAAGAATAAATTAGCAAGCGGTTTAGTGATATAAATGGTTAAATCATTATTCCAAAATAAAATATCTTACCGCCTCTTATACGATTTTACAATCATTGATTCAAAGCCACAATTCTCGTAAGAAATCCACAATTCTTGTAAGAAATCACGAATCTGGCTCTTTGGTCGAATAAATTGTGTTCAATTTTCTCATACTTTTTCATTTTTATTTAGAACACAACATTCAACCAAATTACTTCATTAGTGGTCAAGCATCCCAGATTCTTCCTACAACAATTGTTAATCTAATATTCATTTAGTCACAGCCTTGGTGATGTTCTTGTGTTATTGAATATTAAACCGTTGACCAATATTTTCTTGCCCTTCACTCAAATTCAAGAGTCAAGGTGGTTAAAAATTACAATGCATTTGATGAAAACCCAACTGAAGGCAAAGTGAGATAGAAATACTCTTTTGGGAACGATGATCTATTAACAAAAATATTAGTATGATTCACTAGTTGCCCAATGCCCACATACATCTCTTATTACAGCCCACCACCAAGTTCCCCTATGCACTCAAAACTGCAAATTTCAGCCTCATAAACTTTACTTTACTTCTATCAAAGCTGTAAAGACTTGTTCTTTTTACTTTTGAGGCAAAAAGAAGCCAGTAAATATTATCATGGACGGTAAAGGCTTGGAGGAAAAAGGAAGGGGAGGGTAAAAATGAATACTCACAATTTGCATATTCTTTTCTGGCTCTTAGGAATTTCTCTATTCTAAAAATTAAGTGGTGGAAAGAATGACCAATGGGAGATCTTAGGCCCCTCCTCCAACTGAAAAAGACTGAAAATCCAAATGTTCTGGCTCTTCTGCTTCTCCTTGATCATACCAACCAAAGCTTTTAGCCGAGCAAGAACCTGAATACGTCACTTAACGAGATGATCCCTTCAACTCGCTTGCTTCCAGCCTCGACTATCAATAGCCTCCGAATCCCTGGATGAGAGAACAAGCAATCAATCAAAACCCTATCTCAAAAACTTCTCAGTTGAGGCAACAGTCGAGTGCAGATTTGGATTACCAGGGCTTGCTAATCGCTCCATCACTTTGTGAAGCGGATCAGATCTCAAACACATGTGACATCGCTGTCCGTTGTAAGGGGAACTTACGTCTTGCCCCAACTGCAATGCCTGACACGAGAAGAAAGCGTGCACTGCATGTTAGTCCTATATCATGCAAAGTAGCATGGTGGCTTGGGATTAATTATTCAGATTTGACCCAATCAACCTACTCATGAACTCGGTTTATGTTACAAGCAATCCCAGCTGACCCATAAAAGAAAAATAAACTCCTATCCGTCTTTTTGATATTTTGTTCAGGTTCTATTGCGGGTTACATGAAATCTAAGATGATAAAAGAAGCACCGTTGAAGAAGGTAGAACAACGAGAAGAGACACAACACCAAACAATTATAGATCATCTTTATCTTGGAGAGGAGATCGATTCCTATGTTTGGCGGATGCTAAATAATGAGCTATTGCATTCTTGGGTTTTGTTCGGGTTTATCACCACCCTCATCCATCCATGAAGTTCCAATTGTTTGGCTGGTTTCAGGTGTGACGAAATGTTATATTCAAAGTGATGATAATGGAGTCACCAAACAAGTTCGAGATTGAGCAGGTGTACCTGATGGATGCTGATTTCGTCTAGATGAATCTGTGCATAGGCTTTATCTTTTGCCAGAGCAGTGATATCGCTGTCAAGTAAGAAAACAGATGTCACAGATTGCTATATACAAACTACAAAGGTTCAAAACCACAGCAGACAGACGAGAATTAAATACAAACCTCCGAGAATAAATGTCCAGTAGTGAATCGTTGTCATCTACAATCGGAATTGAACTGACATCAGCTGCAAAGAACCGAAAGCATCAGCCAAGATCCAGACGAATTAGTTATAACAAATTCAAATGGTGAAGAGCAAATGGTGTATGGACACGGGCATAGAAAAGAAATCAATGAACTTGTCTCAAACAGTTGTGTTAAAATCCCAATTCTGGATCTCAAGATTTAACCATTCTTAGTGGGTAAACCAGCTCAGATCTTACTACAAACTCGGTAGTCCATATAATCTTACTATTTTCAGTGCCCAAGTCCTGATGGTACAATTCTAGAGGGGAAAAACTTGCCATATCACAGCAGAAAATTGGTGGCTCATTTACTCTTACAATTTTGACAAACAACATGCGACTTTCGATTTACCTTGAACTAACAATGACAGGGCAGCACCGAGAGAAGTATTGGGTCTCAAGACTGCAACAGGCCTCGGATTTGATTCCCCAATTTTAGGAACCCATGTACCTAAAGGAATCGAACAAATTGGCTGTTGCAAAATGGGCAAAGTACTAGCAGAATGCCTAAACTGCCTGCATATACCTGCAAACAAACATCTAGAATCAGTAATCACAAAGAGACATGTTTTTTAATGAAAATATGAATTACACAAGATGGAGAAGAAGAAACATACATTTTAGTATTCCAGAAAGGGAAGCTAGATGTAATAGCTGTGGAAATGCACCATCTTGAGATGAAGAATGGATGATGGGAACTGTTGATACATTACCCCGCAAGATTTTCTGAGAAACATCTTTCAACGAATCATAAGGCCCAGCCTACAAAACAGTCTGCATGTATCAGTACAAGTAGATTCTTCAACTGGGTGATAAGAGGATCTAATAAAACCTCGTAGCCAAACACTTACATGGATCAGATGCTTAGGATCTGATCTTCCATTGCCGTCGATTTGTCTGCTGAGGTGCAACTTGCCTTCCTTCCAAGCTGAAATCGTATGAGTTTCCAACTCCTCCTCTGTCAAATTTGATCCATGATTTCCAAGCTGGAATTCACCATAAAATTGACTGACAAGTCAGCCTCTAGTATCAAAACATACCTTCACAATTTCTAGTCTGATTTTCAGATTAGATAAATATTATAGCAAGATGACAAGTTTCAGTATTGCCGAATTTGTTAGCTTTTTACTGGTTTTAGGATACTTTGCTAACTTCCTTATTCACCAACTATATAGATAGAACTAAGAAACTAGCATAATAAACGGTTCCAGCATGAGAAAGTATGCTGGTTCCCAAAAGGCTATGTGAGAGAAAATTACTAACTTGGAGTTGACAACATGAACTCACCTCTCTGAGAATCAGGATAAAATCCATTGCACTGAGAACCCCAACAAACTGACCCTTCGAGAAATCCCAAAGAGGAGCCACAGGAACACCCTAGAATTAATCCAATTGGAAAAAGATTTTAGCCAAGGCATAAAACTGCAAAATGACTGAAAAGACGAAGGCACTGGATATAACCCAAGTATGAAGTAACTAGATATTAGAAGTCAAATATGAATTCATCCTTTTGCTAGATGTTGACTATTGCATGTAGGCTAGTCTATCTAAATAGACACTTGCTCACCTGTTCGTGGAGAATATGGAATGCTTGCTTTACTGGTAGTTTAACATCCAATGCAATAACCTAGTTGACAAATTTATAAGCATAAGGATAATCTCAAAACTAAAGCAGAGGAATAGAAATATTGTGATCAAACACAAAGAAAGGGCTCCAGAAGACGGTATAGCATCCAAACCTTGCCTGACTCAGGGAGCAACTCATATGCAGTATGTGTCGACAAGAATGCAGAAATCCTGTGACGAGAGACTTCCAAATCAGCATCTGATATGCCACGGGCCACATCCTGAGAAGGATCACCAACAATATCAAACAAGTTAAGTGTCTGACCTATTGGTTTCCACCTAATAAACCTAACTTGCCATAAAATGACTCAAACCAGGGAAAGAAACTATCTTATAGAATAGCTACTTACAGTCATATCAGGGAAGTTGGAAACTAAAAAGACTTTACAAAGAGCACCACAAACATGAGAGCATGTCAGAGTCAACAAACTCCCTTACCGAATGAACAAAGACATCATCCAGGTCCATGCTAGATCTCCCGGGCCCAGTAGGACTAAAAGTTGCAGGGATTACATCTGGCTCCCTAGGTAAAAAAACTGTATTTGACACTCCGTAATTACCGCTTACAAACGGCTGGTGCTCATCATACCGCCACTCTCCATCGACAATAAATTTATACTGCATATAAATGTCAAAAAGAGAGAAGCTAAGTAAGAACAGTGGATCATGAATCCTTTTAGAGATGACATAATCTACAAACTAAAAAAAAAAGTGTTCACAAGGTTATAGTGCTTTGGTAGAGCGTCAAGACCCCGCTTAGCAAGCATTAAGCTCGCGCCCTAGTTCTAATGTATTGGTTTCTGTACAATAAACCAAGACTGTCATCACAAACAAGTCCTACATTTCTTTTTCACGCGGCTAATGGGAAATGTTTGACTGCCACTTTGGTATAAAGCAACTGATAATTACTACGAAGTACAAAACACAAACGGTGAACATTGACTACCAATCAAGACTTGCTTACAAAAAAAAAAAAAAAAACTCGCGAGCGGATGGGGTAGTAATAATTGTTTATAGTTAAACGATGCTCCTTTTTCCATTTCTTATGATAAACGAGAGTAAAATGTGGAATCAACAAATTGATTGCAGGAAGCCAGAGTCCAATACAGGTTCAGGACGATAGAAATGAAAAACCATTGGAGAAAAAACAGTTTACCTGGTGATATCCAGGCGTCAAACTACAAATAACTTGAAATACAGTAGGACA